TCCCGCCGGCACAGGGTAGCCAGAAGCTCTCCCACACACTCACCGGACCTGGGCTAGGACTGACAAGAATAATTTCTTAATGTTATGAAATACTCTATTTATGCTTAGACTTTTTAAATTATCTCCAAAACATGTTATGTAGAGTTGATTTGTTCAAAACAGAATCCAGTCAATGATATGTTTCGGATATTTTGTCTCCTGAGCATACAACAATCTCATCCTCTTTCTCAATACTGTTGCATGTTAATAAGCCATTCCAGTTGTTCTAAGGCATGTCCATTCTGCAGGACTTTCTGATTGCTTCTTTGTGTCATTGAGTTACATAAGAGAAGCACTAAATTTCTCTCGGGTGGCTCTGAACCCATCCTTCTTACTGTGTTCTTTTCTCATCACTTTATGGATTCCAAAGAGTCCTTCCTTCCTTCTTGTGACATGCTTGAAAGTTAGGAGATCTGCCCTGGTCATCAATTATGGCCAGATTCAAACTTTTCAGGCAGAATGTTCCCTGGTATGTGTCTAATTCATTTTTCGCTTTCTACTTTGTATTAAGCCCAGTTATATTAAAATAATTAATGCTACGTTAAATCCCACTGGACAGCAGACCTTTAAGCGTTAAGTCAGTTGCTTGAACTGACAAAAATTTTCCTCATCTGGGTCCCAAGAGGGGCCTTTGTGACCTTCAAGTTTGTGCTTGTGAGATGGGAAGTGATTTCTATTCTTAAAAACCAGGGTAGCAAATACACGTATTGTATTTCTTTTGTACTGCTATTGAAAAGTTTTAGAATTCTCATTGGACATCACATAAGAAAACGAGACAGACTACATTCATTATGAGGAATTAGTCCAGAACTTACTCCTAAGATCACAGGAAATGCCTAAAATGATGGAGAGAACTGAATATTTCCTCTATGTTTTTGCCATATGAACATACATACATAAAAACTTGTGTTAAATTCTATTACATAAATCAGTCACAGAAAGATTAACAACAGTAAACAATAATAAAATAAAGCAGATGTAATAGTACACTGTATTCAGAAATTCTGGAAGTATGTGTTTGAACTCTTATTTCTCTCTCTCTCTCTCTCTCTCTCTCCTCTTTCTCTTTCTAGAAAGATAAATATCATTTCTGATTGTTCTATTCAAGTAGTTTACCAAAGGCAGACAGTACCTTAGACTGGAGTGGTAGCATGATAGTATGAAAAATGTTTGGATTTTGGGAATGTATTGAATAAAGAACAAACCGTTGTGAACATATACTGATTATACGTATGGTGTATTTTTTTCTTCCTAAGTTTCGCTATGCAGGTAGGCTTGATAGGTTTTACATGGTGGTGGGAACTTTGGCTGCTGTTATCCATGGAACTGCACTCCCACTATTGATGCTGGTGTTTGGAGACATGACAGACAGCTTTACAAAGGCAGAAAACAATATTTCATCCAACAATCCTAACCAAAGTAAGTGTTGTTTGTTCTGCTGATTCTGTTGAGAATGTGAAGAAAAAGACTTTGAATGATATGTCGGGGTCCTGAGTTGGTGAGAACTGTGGAAGTTTTACTCTGATTAGCAATGTTCCCACATGGGATATGTCCTGAGATTGCAGGAAATGCCTGAAACTGTGGAGAGAACTGAACATATCCACTATGGCATTTTCCATCCATCCATCCATCCATCCATCTATCCATGCCTGTGTTAAATTCCAATACATAAATCAGACACAGAAGGATTAACAAGAAATAATAATAACAAAATAAAGTAAATATAATACTATACTGTATTCAAAATTCTGTAAGTATGTATGTGTGGACTCATTTGGTCTCTTGCTCACTTTCTCTCTCATTCATTCTTCCTTCACTCTCATCTCTCTGTCTGTCTCTCTCTTTCTCTCTCTCTCAAATATTATATTGCCTTTTTCTCCTTTTGGTAAGATGATATACAACTATAGTTGAGCACAGGTAACTGAAGCCATGGAAAACAAAATTGTTGGTAAGGAGTCACTCGTCCTTTAGACTTCTCATGAGGTAGGAAGCAAGACATTTGACTATTTAAAGGAGCTACACAATATGATGTGGTAAAGTGA